GCTCCCGGCTCCGGCCGGTGCTCAAGGTCCAGCACTCTCCGCAGCCGCAGTTTGTCCCGGGACCTGCCCGTCTCCCCTCCAGCCTCCTCCGGGCCCGTGGGGTTGATTTACCGGGCTGCCCCGGAACAGCGCGGAACACAGACGAGCCCAGCTGTGCCTTTGACCCCCAGGAGTAGCACTGGGGTGAATTCATCAGGTCATTCTTTGGTCATCCTTTGGGTCTCAGGGACGGTTCTCCAGAGAGCAGGTAAGGACGGCTCTGGGGAGACAACCCCCCCACCCCCAGGGGGCCTTTGCCGAACTTTGGATTCTGTGGCCTAAGCAGACCAGGGGACAGGTTTTCACTTCAGGGGCCCCTGGCCAGTGGGAAAGTCACATTCTGAGACAGAGTTAATGGTACTTACCCATTACCCATAAGAACACCATGCTCGTATTTTGCATTTAAACGCATCCTAACCCTAGGAGAAGGTAACCCCCCTCCCGAGGGAAAGGGAGACTCAGCATTTGTGTGACCTTTTCAAGATGCTACAGCTATAAATAGTTGAATGGAGATGGAACCCAGGTTTCAGCCACATTTCTCCCCCAGAGGACTGCCAGTGGGGTCCTCTTCGTCTGGATAGTATCAGGTGGGTTCCCTTCAAACCTCGCCTTCGATGTCACCATGTCACATCATAAGACCCTCCCTACAGCCACCAAATCTGTCTTGCTGGGGGTCTCCAGCTGCGGTCGTTCTACTTATTTCTTACGTGGTACCTTTCTCAATCTCTAAATTTTATTTCTACTATGGTTCTTCTCAAAGCCTCCAGGCTTTGAGTCCCAAGATAAGAGAGGATGTGTTGGTCTTGTTCATTGTGGAATTACTGGTGCCCCCAACGGGGCCTGTCTGGGGAAGGTGCTTAATAGGCACATGTGGAGTGATTGACTAAAGCCGGGGAGGACCATCATGTGAACCAGACTACCCACTTGTTTTTAAAGATTTCGTTATGCATACAAGAACTGGGTGTGGGGTTGAGAGACAGAGTGGGGAGCAGAACAGTAGGAGTGAATGAAATACACTGCTGAGGGGAGCAGTGGGCCAGACAGGAGAGGTCTGCTGTGCCATGTGGGTCACTTCCTGACTGGGGTTCGAAGTGCAATGGCTGCAGATAGCTTCTAGAGCTGAGGCTTAACCCCTGTGTCACCAGGGAGGTGGCACAGACTACCCATTTTAAACAAATAATAAAAAATGTACTTATCGGCCCTACCTGGTGGTGCAGCGAGTTAAAGCACAGCACTAAAAAGCCAAAGCCATTTCCGCATGAGTTCGATTCCCGCCTGCCCCGGAGGTGACCACATGGCGCGGCAGACCTCTCCTGACCCGTCCGCTGCTCCCCTCAGCAGTGTGCTTCGTCGATCTGCCTGTTCTGCTCCCCACTCTGTCTCTGGTGAAGCCTCTCGCTGCCTCTGAGCCTCTGGCCTGTATCCCAGTTCTGTATGCACAAATAAATCTTTAAAAAAATGTACTTATCAATGAAACAACATGTATGCTGTCTAAATATTGAGTGCTTACAATGTAGCACATACTTGTTACTGGGCTATAAGAGTAGACAAAATAAACAAAATCCTCACACTCCTGATCTTACATTCCAGCGTTTGTGTGTATGCACGCATGTGCAGGCAGGCATTACAGTACAAGGCAGGTCATGGACAAGTAAGTGAATGAAACTGCTACATGAGTTGATGATAAGTGCTATAAAGACAGACAGAGCAGGAATGGGGGCCAGTTGCCGTGGGGCTTGGGGAGAGGCAGGGCACGAGCCATTTTCATCTAGAGTTGCTTGAGAACGTCCTCAAGAAGGAGATATTTGAACAAAGAGCTGAAGGAGGTGAGAAAGCCAGACATCTGAGGAAACAGCTGCTGAACTGCCTTCCACGACGATTTAGAAGGCACGTGTGACTCTTCCTTGCAGGCTATCAATTATAATAGCAAATATAAATCAATACTGTTGTTACAACGCAGAGAAAAGATGCAGGGTTTTACTTGTTTGGATTCCAGATCATCAAACGTAAATGTCAATGGCCATGCTGACAGAGGGTGCATGAACAATACTATTTGATTATTTTGATGCCTTAATATTTCTGTGAGTCCATTTTTAGCTCATATTTATAAGGACAGCACCAAAGAGCCCCTGGGGGGCCTTCCCTAGCCTCTTGGCATATGGCACCGCAGTGGGAAAGGGTGGGGGGGCGGGAGGGAGACCCGGAAGACGGGTGGCCTAGGGAGCTGCTGTGGCTCAGAGGGAGAGGTGAGGGAGGAGTGGATGACAGGCACTGGAGAGGGCCAGGAGCTGGGGGTTCTAGAGGTCAGGGGAGGAAACTTAGGAGCCATCAGTCCTCATCACCACCACCTCTGCTGCCATTGTTAGAGTCCAGGGATCTCTTTATATACTCAGTGCAGCAGTGAGCAAACCCAGAGGCCTCAAGTTCAACTTTTCGAGGAAGAGAGTCTTCCCATTGGGGGATTCTGCCCAACCTCCCTCAACAAAGACCCCAGTATTCCTCTTTCCTTTGCCTCCTCCCCCCCCCTTGCTGGGGTGTACTTTTAAATGGGGAGCTCAGGGCCTCCTTGGTGATGCAAGGGGTTAAGTCTTAGCACTGTGAAGCAATGGCCAGCCACTGCAGCAAGAGTTTGTTTGATGCTCTGCCAGGGAGCTGACCCTCATGGCACTGCAGACCTCTCCTGTCTTGCCGGCTGCTCCCCTCAGCAGTGTGTTTCAGCCACTCTGCCTGTTCTGCTCCCCACTCTGTCTTTGGTGGACACACACACACACAGAGCTCTGGCCTATACCCCAGCTCTTGTATGTATAAATAAGCAAGATAAATCTTAAATAAATAAGTAAATAAATGGGGCCCTCTCTGATGTTGTAACTGGTTAAAATGCAGCACTGTGAGGCTATTGGCAGCCACTGCAGCACCAGTTCGATCCCCAGCCAGGGAACTACCCACATGTCACAGCAGACATCTCCTGTCTCTCCCACTGCTCCCCTCAGCAGTGTATTTCAGTTGATCTGCCTGGTCTGCCCCCCCCACTCTGTCTCTGGTAGATCCTCTCACCATCTGTACCCCAGTTCTTGTGTGCACAAATAAATCTTTAATAAATAACTAAAATGGGGAGCTCAGTGCACCAGTGTCAGGACAGTGTCTCAGCATCACCCAGGAGAACTTGAGAGTTTAAGGCTGGCAGCTCTTGGGAACCCCAAAAGGACTGCAGGAGAGAGCTGGGTAGAGAGTCTCCCCACAGAGAGGAAGCCAGAGCTAAGGTCACAAAGAATGCAGCCTGGGGACACCCTATGCTTCCTAGATAGAAATAACATTGTAAAACAATTGTTACTTCCGTTAAAAAATATTTTTAAAAAATATTTTAAGAAAAAGGGGGTGCAGCCTTCAAGTGTCCCTGCTCTGCTTCCTCCAGGGTTGGGTGCAGGGCCCCCCTTGCTTGTCTCCAGCCAGCAGGAGTGTGCGGAGCAGCTGCACTCCAGTAGGTCCTGCACACGCTGGCACGCGTGTCTGGCCTGGAGTCTCCAGGAAGAGGCTGCAAATCGGTTCCCTTGAGCCTTGGTGTGTCTGTGGAGGTGAGACCAAGCCGTTTCCTCTGACTCACTCTCCTGCTGCCACATTTCTGCGCTGTCTGTCCTAGGATTTCGGCATCTGTTATGTGGCAAGAAGAAACAGCTCCCTTGGGTAGCAGCCCCTCTCCATCCTTCCTGCTGTAATGTCAAGTGGGGGTGGTGTGTGTGGATGTGGATGTGGTGCTGTGGTTCCTCCAGGGCAAAAGCCCAGGCTTCCTTGCGTTCTGCAGAATGGGGTGACCAGCCTAAGGATCACTCATTTCGTTGAAGCGTGTGGCTTTCTCTGGAGGCAGGTTGGCGGGGCGGAGATGGACCTCACCCTCGGCTCTGCCCCTGCACAAGGGACTTGATACACGGGATCTGATATGTCAACTCGGACACTTGGTTATCCTGTTTGGCTCAAGAGGTCCCAAGTAGTAAGTTATAAGCCCAAACACGCTCTCTCCCCACCTCACAAGAGTGCTTCACTGATGTGACACATCACACTGTATGAGGAAAACCACTCCACATTTTTGGATGATGTGGTGAGCCGTTCAGGACGGCTGATCTTAACTTCATAAACTCTTACCCCAAGAGATATGTGAATATGTGATGAGTTTTCTTCTTCTTCTTCTTCTTTTTTT